GCTTTGCCCGGCTGCCTCCGTGCCCTGCTGCCGGGAGCCCCGGTTTTTGGGGAGGGGGTTAACGTCTCTGCAACGTGAGCCGCTCCGTTACAGCGCTGCGCTGCGAGCCCGCGTGTCCCTGCCTGCACGTTACCTTTAGCATCCACGGCAGCAGCTTGCACGTGGGTGAGCAGCCCCGGGGAGAAAGCCAAGGAGCCAGGCCCAGAGCAGCAGTCGCTAGAGGTGGCAAAGAGCCCTGGAGCAACGTGACCCGAGGGTGCCGGACTCTCTTAGGTCACTTTTCTGGTTGCGTCCAGCAGCTCCGTGCCTCCACGCTGGCCTGCCTGAAGCCTCCGCGCAGCGAGTGCCCCCGGACTGTTGCTGACTCGCGACACGATCCGCCTTCCCAGCCTCTCTCAGGTCGTGCTGGGAAGGGAGAGGGCTCTCCCGTTCTCATGTGCCTCCTGGTTTTGGCACGACAAGGTCATGCCTGGGCTGGCAGAACCGCCTCGCACGCTTTGCTGCTGCGGAGGTTGGTGGAGGTGGTGGTGTGCACTGAGGAGAGACTTTCAATTCTCCTACTTTGGCAGTTGGCCGCCGCAGCGTGCCCACGAGCTGTGCCTGCCCCAGTTTCTTGGCTCCGACATCCAGACTGGATGCAGTCGCTTCTGGGAGCTCCTTTCCTCAGCTTACCTCGGTGCTATTGAGAGCTGCACTTGTTTCTTGCTTTTGCAATGCAGAACTGCGAAAGGTGATTTAAATGAGCTAGACTCAATCTTGCAAAGCCCTCCTGAGTATAAGGGCTAGCTAGGTATGGGTGCGCCCTTCAGGGTGGCCAAGCAGCCTGGAAAGGGCTTTAGTGTCCTCTTCCCTGTGCCAGGTGAACCAGGCCGGTCTATGCCTTGGAAAGGGTCAAGGTGTGTACGGTGGTGGCTCTCCTGACCGGAAGAGGTGGCTGGGAGGCTGTCCTCCCTCCTGGGCCAGCCGGAGCAGTGATCCTGGCTCTTCTGGTATAGCTTATCTTCCCTTCTTGTAGGGGAGGGTAAAAGCCAGTTTACCCACACCACTGAGCTGCCTCCAGGCAGGTCTTGAGGGTAGGGTGGGCTGCTCAGAGGAGACCTGCCTCCTCCCTTGTGCCGACAATACTGGACTGCTAGACAGCCAAGTGGTGAAAGAGGGGGTGCTGGGAAGCTGCCGGAAGGGTTGAGGGCTTGAAAGATGCCACGTGGTGCTGTGTTGCCCTCACAGGTGAACGCAGTTGCGGGGGGCAGGGGGGGGGTCCTCACACTTGGAGCTTTTCCTGTTGTTTTTTTTCCAAGGTCCTGGACTGGTGGCGGGGAAGGGGACAGTTGGAGGTGGGCTGTGGAGCACAGTAGTATCTGGTGCCTGAGATATGGGGAAAGTTGAGTATTGCTTTGGCTCTGATGAGCTCTCTGAGTGTCCAGAGAAGTATTTCAGGTGGCAACTCTTTTCCTTCCCGCCTGAACTCTTGCACCAATGCAGAGGTGGTATGGACCAACCCTCGCACACATGCCAACTGGGGAAAGGGATAGTGGCACACAACAGCATAGCATGCAGTTGACACAAAATGCAGTTTTAGCTCTGTTCACAAGTTTCTAGGTTATTCTGCCATTTATAGAGAGCACTAAGTTTACTTTTAGGAATAGAAAAAAAAATCGGTTTGTCTGTTGGTCTCTCCCCCACACCTCCCAACTAATCTGGGTGGGAATCAGAGCTCAGGTTACAACAGCTAATCCCAGACTATAGACAGCCTGGCCTCGTAATGCTATAATCTCTGAATATAGCCGTTGCAGCAGCAGCTCCTCCCCCCATTAGGGCTTTGAGCCTGGGAGGCCGTATCAGTTTCAGATTTTATTGCTGCGCTGGGGACGCAAAAGTACATAGGCATGCAGGCAGAGCCAGACGGACGGATGCACGTGCATGCGGCAGACCTGCGCCGAGAGTGGAGGGACGGAGGCAGACTAAGGCTCGGGCTGGGTATCGTTTGCGTTCGGTGAGATCCCCAGGGTCGTTCAGTAGCGAGCAGCCGGGAAGGCGTTGCTCTCTCCAAGCCGCAGTCCCCGGCCGGACAGCAGCGCTGCTCTAAGTAGGTGGCTGCAGCGTGCCACTCGGCATAAGCCACCAGCTTCAAGGGCTTTTCTGCTGCCCCCATCCTGCCTCTGCTCGCTCTTGCTGCCTCTCTGTTGTGGTCAGTGGCCTGACACGGCGCAGTCAGAGCTGAGTTTCTTCTTGGTTACAGGATGTATCAGAGGTCTGGCAGTGGGTGGTCACAGTCCCATCCTGGCAGCTAGCTTGGATTGGGGTCTCGGGAAGTGAAATGAGCTCGTTCCCCTTTCAAGTCCGAATGCCTTCCCAGGAGGCATCCAGGCCCACCTGTGCTACCTCTCCGTGGGGTGTTGAAGGGGTAGGCTGGTGGCCCTCCTGGCCTGCTTGCCTGCTTCACAATAACAGTGGGAGACCTTAGCCTGCGCCACGGGTCTATCACTTGAATGGTTTGCTTTAAACAGGGAGTTTGCTTTGCCTGTTATGGGGTTTTGAAGCACAGGGATGCGGGGATCACGCTGCTGCGCTTCTCCCCACAGTCGAGTGGCCTTGAAGGATGTATACAGTGAGGATGAGGAGAAAAGATGAAGAATGTGAAGGTGAATTTCACATGATCGTGTTTCTCCAGGAGCTGGAGCTTTAAACAGCGCCGGAGACTCACTGTCAGCAGGAGGGGTTGGGAACTTGGTTTTGGAGGTAGGCTGCCTTAAGCTGATGCTGTACGCTCAGCATCAGCTGCAATTGTAATGCTTGGATCCCAAATGATGACTAGCAGGGAACAGATCCCTCTTTTTCACTTGCAGCCTGCTCCCCCAAGACTGCCCCGTGACGAAAGCCTTGTGACTAGCCGTGTTTCTGCTGCAAACTCCGTGCTCCCCAGTGGTTGCAGCCCTTGGGCTGCAGTCCTGGTAGGAGGATTCATATTGAGGGCTCTGCACAAGGCTGCCTGCCTTGTTTTGACTGAGTGGTTTAGCCTCCTTGGGCCAACTATTGTGATTTTTATCAGGGCTGAGGGCTTCAGAGAGCAATGAGGGTTTTTGGCTGCCTTTGGTGCCTGGCTCGTGGATGGAGTGTAGACAGGGGAAAGAGGAGCAGGGGCAGTTATTCTAGCTGAGGGGCCTGCCTCCAGGTGTGGTGCTTGCCTAGCCACAGAGGAGGGTTGGTGAAACTGGCTGGTTGTCCCCCAAACGATGGGAAAACCTGGGCTGAAGTGAGCATCCTGAGGAGCTGTATCTGGGCAGCGTACTGTCGCTTCTGAGTTTGAGAGCTCTGCTGTCTGCGCCTGCGTCACACACGTGTTACAGGGAGTGTGACGGTGGCCTGTAACTCTGCAGGGGCAGGATCGGTCCTTATGCCCCGCATAGAAACGAGTTAAATCGCTCTGTACCCTCCTGAGCTCGGTGGCCATTGTTAGGAGAGGGGGATTCATCTATCCAAAGTCAGGCAGTTGTTACTGGCTGGGCTCCCTCTTTAGTCAGTGAGACGTTTTTAGGCAGAGTCTGAACTTGAACAGATGAATTTAGAGAGGCCCATTTCTCTCTGCTGGCTATAGGGGGAGACTGGTGACTAGCTCACATGTAGACCTCTGAAGTTTTTTGGGGTGAAACTCCATCAGGTAGTGCCCTGATCTAGCCCTCTCTGCACAGAAGGAACAGGAATTACAGCATGTTGCTGTGTAAAGTCCTTTTTATCTCTGCTGATGGATTAATCCTCTCCCTCTCTGATGCAGGTCTGCCGCTGCTGTGATGTTGGCCAGGGTTTTCAGTTAGCTACGTGGATGAGGCTGCCGGACCAACAGGGGCTGATGCCTCCCGGCCATGCTGCCTCCTGTGTAGACATTGCAGACAGCACTGGGGTGGTGGGACAAGGACATCTGAGCTCTCTGATCTCCGCATAGGTATTCTCTGTTGTTGTAGTCCCTTGGGAGCATCACAAATGACACCCTCTTCCTTGCATTAGGCAGGGAAGGTTACGCCTGAGTCTGGATTTAAACAGCACAGAGTAGGTCATGCCCAGATCTGATGGGAAGCAGCAGGGGTGTGAGGGGGGAGGCAGTTTTCTAAATAAGAGCCTTTAGTTTTTTATGTAGGCTGTCACCATCTACTCACTTGTTTCTTGGCGTGTCTGTTTTTTCTGCTCTGGGTTTACGGGGGAAGAAGCTAGAGTTGCTTTGACCCTATTGAAGCAAGATATGAGGTGGAGTAGTCTTAGTAAAATAGGTGGTTAATTTGGTTTGATTCACAACCTTGCTTTTCGGCATGCTAGCAAGATGAAAGCCTGGAAGGCTGTAGAGATTTGAAACGGTAGGCTAGATCTCCTCACGGGGCCAATTTGGGCCCTGTTTGTGGAGAGATTTGATCTCTCTTGGATGTGTGCATGTCCCTCCCCATTGTTAGTGCCACTGACTTCCCCTCCACGGGGACAATAGGGCCTTGAATCCTCTTCTGTAATCTTCTCCCCCTTATCTCCCTTCTCTTCCTTAGCTTGTGTCTTTGGCACGGCCTGTACTGTGGCAGGCAGGAAGGGTGGGAGGTTTGGGAAGAGCCAATTATGTAAATGGAGCAGTGAGAGGTGCTGTGTAAATGATCGGCCCTTTTCTGAAGTTTGAGCCTGCCAGCGGCAGCAGAACATGGTGCCCAGGCTGGGCAGAGCGGAGGTTCACATAGCCCAACAGCCTGTCCCTCATGGGATGCAAGAAGAGGGTGCTTAGTGCAGAAACGCGTTTAAACTGTTCCTTGCTTCGCTGTCTCCTTCATGCTCCTAGCAATTTGTTGTGGCAGAGTTGGCAGCATAAGGAAATCTAAGGGCATCGGAGTTTTCCGTATTAGTTTCCTTGATGTAGGGAGCCCTGCAAGTCCCCCTGAAAGGTGCATTGCATCCAAGAGATTCTTTAGGGAGGAGAGATCGTGGGACTGAGGACGTCCAGGCATATGGGTAGCCGTGTAAGTACTTCCTCTGTGCTTTTTTTGGCTTGGCACACTCCAGCCGTTTACTCGCTCAAATCAACATTGCCCCCAGGGCAGAAGCAGAAAGCGGAAGGACGATGTGAGTTATACGGTTTGCCTCTAATTGGATGGGCTGTGTTAGGGGAGTGGAGAAGAGACAAGACTCCTGGCCACAATTCAGGATGTTAGAAGCGTCCAAAGAATTTTGTATCCCGAGGAGGGGAAAAGAAAAGAGAAATGCAAACTGAAACCATCAGCTAACAAGGGCAATGAGTGAGGAATGCTTTTCTCAACAGATCCTTTGCATACTGTGTATCCTTTGACAGCTTACTCAAATTGTCCTCCTTGTAATAACTGTTCCAGTGGCCAGACAACAGATTAGGAGAAGAACTACTTGTAACAACTGAGCTAGGAGAAGGGAAAGACTGACAGAGCGCTGCAATATCCGTGCCGGTTTGTTTGACTGCCCTGCATTGGAAGAGAGGCAGCTGCTGTGCGGTTCCTGGAGCTGCAGATGTGGCCTTTGCAGCTCTCGAAGCTTTTCTGAGGTCTATGGGCGGAATGAGCCTGTGTCAGGCCATAAAATCACTGGACCAACATAGCGCTCCCTGTGGTGGGCTGGGAGCCTGCAGATAGCACTAGTGGCCTTGCTCTTCCTTTGCAACCCAACTGGATGCTCCAGGTAAAGCAAAACACTGCGTGTTACTTCAGGGGGGATGGGATGGGTCTGTGCTTCAATGCTGAAACAGGAGCTCAGCTGAAGTGTAGGTGCAACCCTTTGGTGTTGGATACTGCACGTCCAGGGACGTCACGCTTTACCAGCGCTGTGAGCCTGCCTCTTGCTGCAAGCCAGAGCCCGCAGCTCCAGAAGTTCCTTGGCTGAAGCGTAATGTTCCTGGGCCAAGATGGCAGGCGTCGAATAGAGGCCTGAGACTGGCGAGCGGCTGCTGTGGGTGGTATTGTAGGTCCTGCAGCGTGGGAGGATGCCAGTGGGGGAGGAGGCCTTTTACACCACCCCAAAAGCACAACAGTAATTAAGGCGGGCTCAGATTTTGTGTAAGCCCTGTTGTTCTGTTGGGGCCCTTTCTCCTGCTGGCAAGGAACTTAACAAGTAGCCCTTTGCTTTGTCCACGGTCTGCCAATGGAAGGAGGAGTCAGAGGCAGGAAAGTAGATTTAAAAAGAAGAAAAGGTGGGGAGGAAGCAGTTTTTGTTGGGCCAGCTGTGATGGGGGAGTATTTTGGAAATAAAATCGCTCCTCTTAAAAAGAAAACTTAAGCCCAGCAGATCTACTCAGCGGTCAAGCTCTGATTTTTCTCAGTGCTACGTGATAATCGTTAAACACAGGGGATGCTTTGTAAAGTAGAATTGAAGGGAGGAGGGGAGGATGGAGCAGGATTTAAATTTGAAATTGGACAAGGGTACAAAGCCCCTTAGTTCCCCGTTTCTGCTTAGTGCAGCTGGAGCTGGACTTGACAAGATGCTTACCAGAGCTTGTGGTAAATGTTTTATGGTACTGTGTATCAGCCAGATCGATTCTACTACGCTGGAGGGAGTGCAGATAAAATGACTTAAAGATTCCCCTGCTGAAAGCGATAGTATCATCATTTAGACTGGAGAAGACAGATTTAGTTGCCTGACATTTATTTGGCCATGGTGTACTTTGCGGATTTCACACCCGGGGATGGTAGCCAACCTGATGACGTCAGACATGAGCTGTAATAAAAAAATCGCACAAAAAGCTAATGTTGTTCCTCTCTTTTTGACCAGATGAGTTTTGTTATGCATCTGTTTTTTGTTTGTTTTTTTTACTCCATGGATCTCCTTAATGGAAAGTGCTTTACAGGAATGCAGCATCCCCAAAACAGTGTGCCCAATGTATGGAATCTTCTTGGCAGATTGCATGTGCACGTTGTTACAAAGACACAGGTAGAAATATCCCTGCTAACTCAGGTCTTTTCTTTTGATCCTATTTTGTCTGTAGGTCACTTGAATTCTGAACTGAGCGAACATGAGTGCACTTGATTTGGCTTCAGTCCTTGATTTTCTGGAAATGGCCAACTTCACAGAGATCAACTGGACGTGCCACAATGGTGACTGCATCACAGTTGATGCAACAGCATGCCCTGGCACACTTAACAAAAGCGCTCTGCTATACACTCTATCCTTCTTCTACATTTTTATCTTTGTCATAGGGCTGGTGGCCAACTCTGTTGTGGTGTGGGTCAATCTCCAAGCCAAAATGACTGGCTATGAAACCCACCTCTACATCTTCAACTTGGCTGTTGCTGATCTGTGTGTCGTCATCACCCTTCCAGTTTGGGTTGTCTCCCTTGTCCAGCATAACCAGTGGTACATGGGAGAAATTACATGCAAGATAACTCACCTCATATTTTCCATCAACTTGTATGGAAGCATCTTCTTCCTGGCATGTATGAGCGTGGACCGCTATCTCTCCGTTGCGTATTTCACCAATTCCAGTAGTCGCAAGAAGAAGATAATCCGTCGCTGCATCTGCATCTTAGTGTGGCTTCTTGCCTTCAGTGCCTCTCTCCCGGACACCTATTATCTTAAGACGGTCTCTTCCAACAATGAAACCTACTGCCGTCCTGTGTATCCAGAGGAGAGCTTCAAAGAGTGGCTGATTGGCATGGAGCTCATCTCTGTTGTGTTGGGCTTTCTTATCCCTTTTCCCATCATTGCTCTCTTTTACTTCCTCCTTGCGAAGAGCATCTCTGCCTCCAGTGACCAAGAGAGGAAGAGCAACGGGAAGATCATTTTCTCCTATGTTGTTGTATTTCTTGTCTGCTGGCTACCCTACCATGCAGCTGTCCTTCTTGACATCTTTTATAGTCTTCATTTCATACCCTTCAGTTGTCAAATGGAGAACTTCCTGTATGCCACTCTTCACATCACTCAGTGTTTCTCTCTAGTCCATTGCTGCGTCAACCCCATCCTGTATAGTTTCATTAACCGCAACTACAGATACGAGCTCATGAAAGCCTTTATTTTCAAGTACTCGGCCAAAACTGGTCTCACCAAACTTATCGATGCTTCCAGAGTGTCAGAAGCAGAATACTCTGCTCTGGAGCAAAATACCAAATGATTGCAATTCCCTAAAGACACCGCTTTGACTTATTTTCTTTTTTTCTTTCCTCTGTGCTTCTTATGAACGGGGCATGAATTACAGCCTACAAAAGAGAGATAGCAAACTGTGATTTAAGAGTGGAATCAGGCGCAAAATGGAAGTGGTACCAAAGCCAAGCATTTTGTTGGTGTGTTTTGTTTTATCTCCCGCTAGTCCAGTCTGAACTTCTCAACACTGCTATGCAAATGGAAAAGACTTTCTAGTAAACGAAGCCATTGTGTACCATAGATAACGTGCATTTTCAAGATAAGCTTTTTCTTCCATGTGTAGATTCCCTCTTGATCTCATTGTATATGTTTATATATATAGTGTGTTGTATTTAAAAGCTCAAGACTTTATTTTCTGGCTATTGGTGTACCTTATACAATTGCATTTGAAAGTTAAATATATTTTTATCATGTATTTGAAGTATATTGCTGATGAGTGTATCCGGAGTGCTGTAGTCTGAGTGTTAGATTGCTGTTTGGTTTTAACCCTCCTAGGTAAGAGGGTGGCAATAAATAGCAGTATGGAAATGATCTCTTATGTGCATCCTCATTGGCTGGCACACTTTATTGACCGTAGCTCTAAATGGTGGTTGTACCTATGTCTGGAGCATAAAATGTATGTACTGTAAAATAGTTACCATCGTGCTAAAATTAACAGTATTGTAAGAGTTGTTAACTCCTACATCCATGCTTTACAAAGCTGTATCCTTCCTTATGCGCAGAATGAATGATATTACTTCTGAGAGTCGTCTCTATTTGTAAGTTATTTTTGTAAAATAAAGAGCTGGAAAAACTGCGTATGCCAGTGGTCTGAATTGCTTCCTACCCTCTCCTCCCTTTTCCCTCTTCAAAAAAGCTGGAAAGAAGAAAGCACAGAGCCGCGCTCTATCCTTTCCTTGATGCAGCAGTGAACAGGTCAGTTGTTGGTTGTGCTTTCAGAGTGTGTGTTGATGAAAGGCAGAAAGCACTGAACGTGCCACATGAGATGGGACTGGCGAATAGTACAAGGGGAAGGGATGGGAGGAAGGGATCTGTGCAAGACTGGCTTGAGCGAGTGCTATTTGGGAAGGTAAAGGCCATGGATTTTTTAAGGTAAAAGCTGTTGGGAATGATGAAAGGCCATGTCGCTGGCTTAGGAATAAACACTTGGATCAAAAATACAGGAGCATGCAAATGGTAAGGAGGTTTGGTCTAATCTGGGTTCAGTCCATTGTGGTTTTTGCTTGCAATGGTATTCAGAGGTGAGCAGTCCTAAAAACATTAAATCCATTTTTATCTTTTCCTCTCTTTGCTATGGTTTGCACTGAATTTGCAATGTCGTATTGTCAAAGTGTGGGACAAGATTTAGCCGGCGCCATATGCGTGAAGTAGATCTTCAAGCCAGTGCGCTTATATCATGGTCGTCTTCGTCCCAGGACAAGGTAACTAACGTTAAATCAGTGATGTCTCGCAGCCTGTGATTGACTTGCTGTTGCTGTTCTGCGTGTCTTTGAAACTCCTGCACAGTGATAACTGCTTTGCTGTGAAGATTACACTTAAGTTCCTGTTATAAACACAGCGTACCCTTTTTCCCTTTGAAGTCCCAACGGCCAAATAGTTTTTGGAATGGGTGTTTTCTTTCCTTCTATCCATGATGTTACGATTTTGTCAGAAGAGGAATCCCTAAAAAACAGATGTTTCCCAGAGCTGCAAAGGGGTTTTTAAAAAGCGCTGGTTCATCTCCAGCTGGAGGAGCCTGTTGCAGAGAAGGGCTTTTGCTGGTCTGTCAGCATATTTAAAACAGTGTTGCTATGCTGGTACAGCCCTCTGTGCAGACATTTCCTACAAAAGATGCTTGTTTGACTTTTGAAACTCCTCTAGGCCTTTCTTAGGGTACTGTAAGGAAAGTGCTCCCTCAAACCGATAGTTAAAATTGGAGGCATTGTGTTGATACCGACAAACATGCCAGCTGTGGAGGGGCACTGCCTTCCCTCCCCCAGGATCGATACTCGGGTCCGCGTGTCCTCATGGACAGTACTGGTTACTGCTTTTCGTCATCCCACTCTGTTGTGCTTGGGGGTGCCGGCAATATGTTTCCGCGCAGATGTTTATAGCAGCGTAGCTCAGTTCAAATCCTATCTCAGGGCAGTATCATGTTTTCATGAGATGCTGTGGCCAGTTTGGAGATTTGAGTTGGCTTGGAGCCTCTATTTCAGAAGTTCCCAACTTCCTTTTTTCAGCAGTTTGCTACTTTGCAGTGCAGCGTCAGCGCTGGAGATCCCAGTTAGTGCTGAGTGTCGGGGAGGTCCTGCAGGCCTGTTGCGTAGGCCAGACAGATAAAGTCTCTAGGCCTCTTCCTTGGAGAGATGAATCGTGGAAGAGCAATGCCTTTTCCAAAAGTGGGGTCAGGCTGGGAGGCCAGGGTGAAAGTTGAGACCGTGAGCAGCTGTAGTGTAGCAGGCTTGGGTCCTCTCCAGCTCCTTGAATGGGAAGGCCTGGGGCTAACCACCCTGCTTGTCTTCTCAGCCCTCGAAAGGGCAGGTGGAGCTGGGACGCAAGGTCACTCCTGCCCATCGGCGCGTGGGTTTGGGAAAGGTGCACGAATCTGCCCGAGGGAGGTCCTCTCTGGGGATCAGCACCAGCGGGATCAGGCAGAGGTTTAGCAGGGGGAAAAACTGTGATATCTTATTAGATTAGTTCAGAGAGAAAGAATGTGACCTGCCATAATGTTTTCTGGTCACGTTGCTGCAGGGAGGAAGGGAAAAGGCAGGGAGGTCAAACCCACTGTGGAAGAAATGCACCCCCACCCCCAAATCCCCCCAAGCCTTGAGGTGCTGCCACAGCCCTGCATTACCAGAGGGCCTCCCTGGGTGGGCAGCGGTGTGTCTCATGAGTGTCGTTTCTCCCACGCCATGGATGCATCTCTGAATTCCCTGGAGGCCTGGTAAGATTAATCAGGGCGGCCAAGACTCCCCGCATTTTGCTCAAGCGTCTGCTTTCTTCTAGTATAGAGGCAGAACTCACACGTTGCCTTCCGTATGCATAACATTAAGGAAATAATAACTCCACGAGCAGCTTCCCAGCCGGACTCCTCCGGAGCCACCTTGCTACAGCTAAGGAGGGCCTTTCCAGGCAGTAGACATGTTCACTTGCCCACTTTTGGAGACGATCTTCAGCAAGGCCCTGCTGCCCTCTCCACAGGACTGAGCAGATCACAGCCCTCCCCTGCCCTTCAAGTGCCTGCAGCCACATGAGCGTGGGCTTGCTAGCGTGAGTTGCGCTAGCCCTTGCGGGGAGGTGGATAGCCTGAGTCCGGTGTCAGAGGTTAGCAACCCCAAAGCAGCCGTGATTCTGCAAGAGGGATGGCAGTGAACAGACTGGGTGTAAAACCTTACAAAAGGAAGAGAGGATCGGATTTGCCTGTTGTTGCGTATCTTTGACTTAGAGTTGTTTTTTGTGCAGAAAATTGCCCTCGAAACTTTGGCAGAAATAAGAGCACGATTAGAAGAAAACACGTGTAGCTGAAAAAAAATATATATATATATATACACACGTATATATGTTCTTGTGGGTTCACCTTGTGGCTGTAAGTGTGTGGCACAGCATCCCAGCTGGCATTTGCACTGAGACCGAAAAGAAGATTTGGGACACCTTGGAGTTTGGTGTGAAGGAGAATTTATCAGCGCATAACAGGTCAGTGAAAGCTGGTATCCTCCGACAGAAGTGACTGTGACTTTGTAGTAATTAACGTGGCGGCTGTTGCAATCGTGTTTTAACAAATGTCCTGTTCCGGGATATTACGAAGGGTCTCTGCCTCCTCCCGCGGTTTGTGCAGGACAAACAGCTTTGGGGAATGGCCTGTGATCTGTCTGGTTCGCAGGAGTGCCTGTGCCCGGGAATCTCCCTCCTCCCTCTGGCAGCTACAGGTGTATGGCGAACAGACGCTCAGGCCTCGCTTCCCAGGGAGGTAGAGTTCACTCTGAAAGGGCCTCAGTGGAAAAATGAATAAAAATCGAATGTAATGTGTCATAATCCATGTTGGAGCAAGTCCCTCTTACTTAACTGTTTGACTTCATGGCTGAAAGGATTCCAGCGCTGTTAGATTGCACGTGCCTCGGAGGCAGGCACCGAGCAAATAAAAATACATCTGCTCCATGAGAGGGGATATTTCATTTTTTTTTATAGAAAGCGCAGTCCTGTTTTATTGTTACTCAAACACAGATTTCTTTTTATGAGCCATAAATGACATTCAGGTGTAGCACAGTGACTTTAAATCAGATCCTCTGGCAACCATCTAGATAATGTATCCTAAGAAGTGCCTAACACACTAACTGGCCTGTTTCTCCTTTGGCTAATTCGTGGTTTCAATGCTGCTGACTTTAGATACTAGCCTCTGATGAGTTCACTGAGCATAAGAGCCATTTAAAGTTACTTAGAAGCAAGAAATAACTCAGCTGTGAGCAATATTTAAGCACATGTCCAGAGCTGCGCTGCCAAAGCCAGATCTTAATCTGTTTCGGAGAGCTACTTGATGAGGCAAGTTGGACTGGTACTAGGTGCTTTGTGAATTGGTGCTTAGCCCCGTGCCGGGCACGTGGGGCCGAGCAGGGCATGGTGCAGAGGTAGCGCGTGATGCACAAATGGGGATGGATATTGGGAGGTGGGCTTGTATATAGTCTCATCTTGGGGTGCGAGGAGCCCAGAAAATGCTTCTAGCTTCACTACGCTGTTTATACACTGTTGTGGCCAAAGAGCTTCTGAGCCAGAATTGGCTCTGATTTACACCCCAGAGTTAACGTAGGATAATGCTGTTGATTTGAAGGGAGCTATCCAGGATTTATAGAGCTTTTTATAAGTAGGATCAGGAATTCTAGCAGTAATCCTGTGCAAATGTATGTGTGTGCACGTGCGTGCATCAGCATCATTAATGCAATGTAATACCCGGCCTACAGCAATACACAAAGATGTAATAACGGCAACAAAACAGATAATAATGATGTGAACTCGCTTTTGCAAAAGCACTTGCGTTACATGGTTATGATATGATTCAAACCAGGCTTACAAAGATCCTGTGATGGATAATCCAGCTGTGACCCTAAAGCATGCAGCTGACATTTCTAACACCGACTGTTGTGCAAAGAATACTTTTCCTCCCATTGTGGTAGTTGCTCTTTGGCAGCAGGTCACTTTTTTTGTTCTTCTTTTAATTGGTAGGTTTCCATCCATTTGTTTTTCAGGTATTTTGTGGAATACGTGCAATGGCTTAGCTAAAAGCCTTGATCCTGTAAACGTTAGAACTTCCTAGTACCAACATGATATCAACATCCCAGCGATGCTGTGAATCCGGTGAGACCACTCAGTCCTACGGCTAAAATATTTCAGGTTCGATCCCCACCGCAAAGCCCCGGTTACAAGTCCCACTGCCATTTTCTTGAAGGGCAGAGTGTGAAGAATACCAAGATCTGAAAAGCTGGTGCTGGATTACAAAATAAGGACGGTCACTACCCCTAGCTAGGAAGCAAGGGAGGAAACAGAAGCCTCAGGCGTAAACGCTCGCTTTGAACTAGCTTCTTCCAAAGGATCCCATGGGGAGCTCTTGATTTTTTCCACCCAAGGGCATGAGCCTGGCAGAAGTTTGTCTGCTGAGGGGTTTAGCATACAAGCACTGCTGTCCTTAGTGCATCATGATAGAGGAACAGCTCACTGCAGGCAGATTGTGATGCCCTCCCTCTTCTAGCTCTCTTTGGAAAGCAAGAGTGAGGCGCTCTTCAGCATGGGGGTGAGAGCATCAGAGTGAGGCCTTGCTGGTTATTTACC